ATATATATATATATATATATATATATAATCTATACAATATATAATCTATACAATGAAAACGAAGCTTTCCCTATATACAGAAATTTAAAAGATTTTGATTATGCAGAAATGATCATCCCCTTAACTACATGTATGACATTTAATCTGTCTTGGCAAATATAGTTCTTCTGTCTACAGAAAATATCGCCAATATTTTCAATTCTTTAAGCCCCACTTCATAGCTGTGCAAAACCCTACTTTATGCACCCAACTGATCTCATATCTCGCCCTACGCTAATCAAGTAGATCACTAGTTTAATTTCTGCGTAGTCCCCATTGTATTTGCCCCCAAACAGTGCTCATTGAAATTAATACACACTCTGTTCGGCTGGCATCCTTGACTGACGTCAATTAACGCTTGGCTGCTGCCAGTGCAGCTGCTGGAGCTACAGATACCAACTATTAACAGCTGCCCTCGTATTTTCATCTGAAAACCAAGATAAGCCATCTACTAGCCAAAAAAAAAAATAAATAAATAAATAAAAAAGAGCGCATAGAGCACTCATTAAAAGCGTGTATATTTCAAGGCTCTAAAGACGACGCCCCGTTGGCTAAATCATCGAGAAGAGAACAGCATCAAGAGCAGCAAAACACAAAAAAAAAATAGTAGATAAAGCTCTGGGAAAAAATTGAAAGCTTTTTGGTGGAAAAACGCTCGAGCGCGCGTTAAAATTTTCTAATATCGTGTATAAAACCGCAAGCTTGACCAAAGCAGCGGCTCAGTTGAGGCTAGAAAGGCCAGAGCAGCGCGTCGACGCGTTTACAGACTAGATCCTGTGAGAGTGAAAGAGAGCGAGCCAGAGAAGGAGAGAGAGAGCGCGAGAGTGAGAGGGAGAGTGAGTGGGAGAGAAAGAGTGAGAGAGTGAGTGAGAGCTTTCGCTGCAAATATCCAATTAGAATCCTGCAAAGCAGAGCAGAGTGAAAGAGAGAGAGAGAGAGAGGGAGACAGTGTGTGAGCGAGACAGACTGTGTGTGTGCTACGCTTGATATTCAAATTCAAAAAACCGAAATAAAACGCGACTTACGTAATCAGTGAGCATATAAAAAAATAAAATTGTTTAAAAAGAGAAAAAAAAGAAACATTTAAATAGAATTCCAAACCGAGCTCGATTATATAAAATACAAAAATTGTGTGTGGATTTAGTGGTTCGGTGCGCGCGTTTCAATGCGTTCGCTAATGCTTTTATGGCTGCTGTTGCCGCTGTTGCTCTACGCCAGCTGCGGCAGCCAAGCCAAATTCGTGAGTCCTACAAGACACAGCAGTGGCAGCAGCAGCAGCGGTGGCAGCGGCAGCGGCAGCGGCGTCGGGGTTAGCGACATAAGCAGCACAATTATAATTGTGGAGGATGCCAAAGGTAGGTTGCGCTTGGGCGAGGTACAACTCGGTCAATGGCCAACAAAGATTCCGAAGTAACACTGCGCAGCATATTTAAAGTAATTTGCACAATTTGGCAAATAAGAACTTCTCCACTCCGCGCGATAATCTAAGCGGCGGCAAGGCCTTGCTGGGGCGGCGACCGGGGGCGGATCGCTTCACAGCAACATGACTCGAATATAATTTACAGCGGCGGCAAAAAGAGCGGATGTCAAAAGCAGAACATGTAGCAACATCATGTAGAGGCAACCGATCTTGGACGCGCTTCACTGACTTCCACTTTAGCTACAGCCAGCGACGCCAAGATCTCTGATTGCTTCACTTGCTGCTGTTGCTGTTGTTGTTGTTGTTTCTCTTTTTCTTGTTGTCTGCATCTGTTTTACTTCATCTTTACAGCCTGCTTCCGGCGTGTGCTGGCTGGCAAGCGCATAGCGCCCCATTGGATACGCCGTTCGATATCCTGTGAACGGGTGGAGGACTGCATGCGCGAGTGCGGCCACGAGAAGCGTTTCATGTGCGAGGGCTTCAACTATCGCCTGGATCCCTCGGGGCATGGCCAGGGCGATTGCGAGCTGATCGAGATACCCCTGTCCCAAATGGATCTGTATTCGAGCGCCAATCGCAGGGACTCGAATCTGTTGCGGCATCCGGACTACGATTACTATGAGAGGGATCGCAATGCGCCCAGCAGCTGTAGGCGTAATGCCTGCCAGGATTGCTCCAAGGGGCCCATTAGCAGCAATCCGATTTACTTCAAGCCCAGCGGCGGCTATGGTGATAGAGATAGGGATCGCGATCGTGATCGTGATCATTATCGTCCTCCTCCCCCGCCTCCTCCTCCATCGCATAGCACCGCTGTGGGCCATTATCGTCCATCGGCTCCATCTAGCGGCTCCTACGAGCATCGACCCTTCTCCACGGACTACCACAGCTCACATTCCTCCAGCTCCTCTTCGTCCTACGAGTTCTCCTCGCATGGCTCTAGCTCCGGCTCGGGCTACTATGGCCATACGCCGCCCAGCAGCTTTGGCGATCATTCGCGTCCCGATTATATAGATCGTCATGATTTTGGTCGACCGGAGCCGCCATCACGCTATAGACCCGATCGCTGGGAAACGCTGCCCAGCAGCTCGGGCTACGACAGTTCGGCTTACAGGCCGCCACGTCCCGAACCGGATCGCATAGACAAGTACCGACCATCGTATCGTCCCGGCCATGACTTTTCACCCTATCGTCCACACGAGCCCAGTCGGCCCGGCCCACCGGCCACGGGACCTGCTCACAACTACCTAGATCGCGACGGTCCACCGGGCTCGTCCTACAAAAAGCCCAATAAATTCGTGCCCTATTTGATCGGGGCCGAGGAGAGCTACGGCGGTGGCTATGGCAACAAGCAGAGCTCCTATTTCGAGTCGCAGCGTCGCAAGGATCAGCACGACTTCAACTATTTCGATCTGGGCTCAACGCATCGCGAGCCGCCCAGGGAATCGAATGCGGTGCTACGCTACCCCGGCTCCAGCTACGATCATGATTATCCCCGAATACGCAACGATTACAGAAAACAATGGACTAGGCGACCTGGCCCGGATGGTAAGTGAATGGGAAGGGGATCGCTATAGATCTACAATCCTGTCATTCTTTCAGAATGCTCTGCCAAGACCAGCGAGGGCTTCCGCCTGCACAAGACAGCCGTGAAGCACGCCTTCAATGTGCCCACGCTGACGGAATGCGAACGCTTGTGCTCGGATCAACGGCCTAGCTTCGTCTGTCACACGTTCAGCTATCGGTACAATCAGGCGGGTCGCGACAATTGCATGCTGTGCGACAGACCTGTCAATATGCTCGACTACTATGTGGACATAGAGCCGGATAGGGACTACGACATATACTCGATGGCCGATGATATGGATGTGTGCAGGCAGCCACCGCCGCACAGTCCGAGACGCAGCGATGGACCCAGCACAGCGCTCTCCGATCCACGAAATGCACGTGAGTATGGAAGAACAGGAGATGGAGAGGCTAATATATTATCTTGATTAAGTCAAGAGAGACAGAGAAGCGGTTAGACTTAGCATTCATGAAGAAGCGTAATCATATCTTATTTAGTCTAGAGAAAATCTTAGAAGCCCTCAGTCGTTTCCCCTCTTCCTTCAGCTAGACAAGGAATAGTATTTCCTAGGCTAATGCTTTCTCTTGCTCTCTTATACCACATGCTCTCTTATACTGTTCCCATCAAATGTTTCGGTTTATTACCTCGGCTTACTATGCCTTTCCCTTCTGCTGTTTATTCCTTTTCTCCTCTTCTAGCTATAGTATTTCCCAGGCCAATTCTTTTCCTTGCTCTCCTCTTAGATTTTTAGACTAATACCTTCTTCTCCTCTTCCCCCACAGAATGTTTCTTCCGCGCCATCGATGCCACGCGCTTCTTCAAGTCCATTGTGCGGGATTCGCTGACGGTGCGCACCGTGGGCGAATGCGAGATGGAGTGCATACGCTCCAGTAAATTTACGTGTCGAGCCTTCGCCTTCCGCTACGGCCAGCAGCGCCACGCGGGCGTCATAGACAACTGCCAGCTGAGCGATTGGCCTGTGCGCGACATGGACAAGGAACGGCATCTGATACTGGATGCAGCCTTCGACATCTTTGAGCGTGCGAGCTACGGACATGGCTGTGAAATTCAGCCCATTGTGGATGAGAAGCATAAGAAATGTGGGTGGACCAAGGTAACATAGAAACAGTTTCCAGAGCTAATTCGAGTTTCTCCATTTTTCCAGTGTGCTACTTGGGCTATGGCTCGCCGGCACGCCTACTACCTCCAGCTATTAAGAAGGTGATCACAGCGCCCTCGGAGATGGCCTGTAAAAAGGAATGCATACGCCTGCGTGACACGACGCCCTTCAAGTGCTATGCCTTTAGCTATGGGTAAGATAATTCGATCGAAAATCTCTATAACTCTAACTGATTTTTTTTTTTAATAGCTCGCAGTCCAGCTCCTTCAACTGCGAAATGTCTGATCTAGATCAAACGGAGCTCAAGCTCGATGTGCACTATAGGCACACCAAAGAGCGTGATTATTGGCTGTTCGCTTGGAATCCATTCGATTGGACTTGCCGGGACAAGGTGAACACGATCGGTGGCTCACGTGTCAATAATGATCGACGCATGGATATATTCCGGGAACCGGGTAAACTGACAATTCTAACCTGTTGCACGTCCATCATTGTGTAAATAATCAGAGTTTGAACCGATTCCAAATTGTCTATAACCCCAGAACTAGATTTTATATTTAGATATAATTAGCTTGTAATTGGAGGTATGTCTATGTATATATGTATAATGTCGACTAGCATGTACAGTAGTATTACCCTAACCTGTAACCTATAACGTAACCCAGACGAATCCGGGTAGCAACACTATAACCCATAACCCAGACGAATCCAAGTATCAACTCCCTATATGAACATTACTAACTGAATGTTAATGCTTAACAATAGAGAATATTATTTAACTAACTTTACGATATATGAAAATCGAAAGGCGATGTCGCTTGGCGTCATTATACCGTAACTGGCAAACCTTGCCGCAGGAGCAGTCCATGCGAGAAGAATCTTATAACGGGCTTCTACTCCTGTGAAACGGACGGCTCAGAGATTGGCGCCTGGGACTATTGCTGCAAAACGGATCATCCATGTGGCTATAGTCGCGGCTTCGACTATGCCTGGTAAGAGCGGAACTAAACTCTATAATGACTAACATGATATCCTTATTGCCGCCATTTCCCTTCACAGGTGCTTTGTGGGCGATGAGCCGGATCAGTGGCGCAAGTGCAGCGATCGATATTATCCGGATGCTGGCAACAGCACCAAGCCCACTACACATTCCAGCCTGTCCAAGCAGAAGCCAAAGCCACACCAGCTGCAGGCAACCTCGGCTAGCAGTGAATACACACAGCATCCGCCACGGCCCGGCGGTCTGCAGAGTCTCAGCGATTTCGCAGCGGCCCGTTTATGGCCCGTCACTTATCTTTATAGCGAGGGGCCGCCCAATGCCACCGAATTTAGTAATTTCGTTGATTGCAACAAGGAGACGTGCTGAGTTTGGCACGCTACAGGCCTAATTAAGTAGTTCCCATAAGACACACCCTCGCCCTTGCGCCCGCCCTCACCCATCATCACTTAGTTCTAACAATGACGAAAATGATGTTCTCACCGTTTGTCTGCCGCAACACACACGTTCGCAAATGTGTCGCTGTGATTTTTCATTGAGATTGATTGCAAATTGCCGTCGTAATCACAACAAATAATAATAAAAACCAATTAACTTATTAATTTCTTTAACTTTCGTGCCGACGATAAATCTTTGTACTTATGCATTTAAGTTTATATAATAAATAACTTAGTTAACTGAGGTGCGTGTTTGTGCGGGTTTTTATATTAATATGTATATATACATAAATTACTAGATTATCGATTTCTCATGTCAGTTAAATATGTCGATAATTTATTTAAATTATCAAACTGCAGTCACCCTTCCATTCATATTTGAATTTTAAGTTTATTGGATTTATCCAAGTTACGCACCATGTAATCGATAACTCATGCCTGTTGCTTTTGGCTATCGTATTTTTCAAATCTCGAGCTACGGTCATACTGCCTTTTGAATCAGCTGGCAATGTAAGAATTGTGCAATAGGCGCACGGGCCTTTTTTGTAAATATTGTAAATTAAAGTGAATATAAAATGACGAGCACAAAAGTGAAAAACTTACTAGCCCTAAGCGCCACAGCCTTAGGGGCCTTTTATCTGGGTACTTACACAGAGCGTCGCCAGAGCAACGCTGATGAATATTGTGAACGGACGCTCGCACGCTTACCTGGATTTCCAGTGTTTTCCACTGTTTCCGCTGCTGAACTGATACCTGCCAGCGAAGTAAATCTAACTGCCCGGCCATCACGTATAGCAGAGATTATGAAATACGGGTTTCCCGGCATGGACAATGTGCGCTCCCACTCCGACTACGTGCTCTCCTACGACAGGCGCAATCGCGTGCCCCACTGGGTGTTCGAGCACCTGACAGCCGCATCGGTGGCCAAAAATGATGCAGTCGATCGGTCGAAATGTGACTTCCGACCAGACGAAAGCATACATCCGTACTTCCGCGCCCAAAACACCGATTACCGTCGATCCGGCTACGATCGTGGTCACATGGCCGCCGCCGGCAATCATCGACTGCATCAGAAGCACTGCGAAGATACCTTCCTCCTCTCCAACATGGCGCCGCAAGTGGGTCAAGGCTTCAATCGCGACTCCTGGAACTCCCTAGAGATGTACGTACGGAAGCTGACGCAAAGCCATCCCAATGTCTATGTGTGCACAGGACCACTCTACCTGCCCCATAAGGAGGACGATGGCAAGTCGTATGTCAAGTACGAGGTGATTGGAGCCAACACTGTAGCCGTGCCCACCCACTTCTACAAGGTAATTGTGGCCGAGGCAGCCGACAAGAAGCTGCACATGGAGGCATATGTGATGCCCAACCAGGTGATCAGCAACGATACGCCACTGAAGGTATTCCAGGTGCCGCCCGAAACGGTGGAGCGCGCTGCCGGCTTGCTCTTCTTCGATAAGATGAATCGCCAACAATTGGCGACAATAAATGGCAAAAAGGTTTAGTTCAATATATTTTTTAGTAAATTGTATTTTTAGTTGTTGAATTTTTGTTTCTTTTCCAAAGAATTGTGTTCGATTAATAAACAGTAAACAATTAATACAGTTATACAAATATTTATATATATATAAATCATATATGTATTATGAAGCAGAGCATAGCGAAGTGGTGTGTGCGCGAGTGTGTGTGTGTGAGAACTAAATGGGTGTGTGTGGGTGTAGACGACTTGTTCCACATTACATGCCGCTGCTGTTGGAGCGCACGTCATCGATCTTGAGTATCATCTTGACCAGCTGTGTGGAGAGCAGAATCTGTTGCTTCTTCGAGTGCAACGATTCGACCACATTGTGATTCTTCATATCCGAATCGCCAGTCAGCATGCAGTCGACACCCAAGCTGGGCCTGTTCTCGGCCACCTGGCTGGCCTTTAGCTCCGAGAGTGTCTCGACCGGGTGGAGTCCACTATTCTCGGCCAGAGCCAAAGGTATACTTTCCAGGGCAACGGAAAAGGCACGGAATGCATATTGCTCCAATGTGGATAGCTGATCGGCTTCCTTGGCCACGGCCAGGGAACAGCTAATCTCAGCAGCGCCACCACCATAAACAATACGCGAGTCCTTGACGAGCGAACGAACCACACAAATGGCATCATGTATGGAACGCTTCGCCTCGGCAATGATCATGGCGTTGCCTCCGCGCAAGAAAATTGTGACAGCCTTGGAGTTCTTGCACTCCTCAATGACCAGCATCTTGTCCTTGGAGGTGCCAAAGGCTGCAATCAAAGGCAAAGATTAGAGCCAGCTATGGAGAGCAATTTAATTCAAGACTTACCCATCTCACGCACCAGTCCAGCGGAGCCAAGTTTCTCGGGTGTCAGCTCCTCGAAGCGTGGCACAATACGTCCGCCGGTTGCAATAGCAATCAGCTCAATCTCTGGACCACCCACCCAGCGTACGGCGGGCAATTCCTGCTGCAACAGCAAGTGATTGGCCTCATCATCGAAGCCCCACTGGCAAATGGCCAAAGTGGCGCCGGCATCCTTGACCTGCTTGACCATCTGCTTAAATTTCTCCTGCTCGTAGTCGCGCAGTGCTCGGTAATCCTCCGCAGAGGTAACGTCCAACTTATGCTTGGTCTTTGGCTTCGGTGGCTCGAAGGGGCAGGTGAGAATGGCCAGCTTGACATTTTTCAGCTCCTTGGGCATTTGCGAATGGCTCAGGGTCTTGTCTACAATGACGCCCTTGACCAGCATAGAGTCCTCCATGCGTCCACCCACTTTAGTCTCAATTTTGATGAGCTCAAAGTTCACATCTTTCTTCTCAATATCGGCCACATTGAGCACAGCATCGACAGCCATTTCAGCCATCTGACGATGGCATTTATTCACAATCTTGCTGCCCAGCGTGGTCATTGCGATCTGAATGAGTGGCTCTTTGTTATTGGGATCCACGGGGAAGGGTTGAGCAATTGCATCCAGCTGCTTGATGGCACATTGAGCGGCCAGCTCAAAGCCATCGGCAATACGGATTGGATGAATGCCGCGATCGATCAAGCCCTCTGCTTGCTCCAGCAGAGCGCCAGCCAGGACAACCACACCAGTGGTGCCATCGCCAATTTCATCGTCCTGCGACTGCGACAGTTGCACCATCAACTTGGCAATCTCATGATCGACCTCCATTAGCTTCATTATGGTGGCACCATCATTTGTCACAGTAACATCGCCATCGGAGCTGACCATAATCTTGTCCAGACCTTTGGGACCCAGCGATGTCTTCAGCGTCGAGGCAATCTGCCTTGCTGCCATAATGTGCGTCTGCAAGACAAGAAGAACATGTTAGAATTTACATGGTAATTAATGCGCGTGACTCAGCCGGCTGATAGGCAACATCTGTGCACCGCATCTAACCTCAAAGTGCATAAGTGACGTCACAAATTAAACGGCAAATACTTGAATTTTTCTTATGTCAGTGCTATAAAATACAAACTAAGTGCAATACTTAGTTTTGTAGCAAACTAATATAGTTTAGCTCTTTGTGCATTAAGTTTTAGTTTTATATGTGGCAAATGCCGGTTGCAAAGAACATCTGGAATATTCGGCATTGAATGCGTCATTCTATGCACAAATTAGCAACTCGCTTGCATTCAAAATTAAAATATCCTTTCAAAATATTTATTATTAATAACAATTAATCCAAATCCTTTGCTTTATCCTAGAAATTACAATAGTTTTTAGTTACCTTGATGGCATCTGTGCCTGTGATGCGCTTTTGCTGCTCCTGGTCGCGCAAAATGATGAAAGGGCGACCATATTCGTCAAACGCGAACGTTCCTGGAAAGGCGCTCATGATTTTTAATTTAAAAGGAACACGGATTTAGGCTTATTTCACAGATTAAATTTGCTTTTCCCGGATCGAAACGCACAAAATTGACGGCCAATGCTGCAGTAAGGCTCACAATCGTTATCGACTATGAGAACAGCTTGCTATCGATACGAAAAAAAAAATATGTTCCCACTGCGCAAATTATAAGTTGCTTAGTAATGCTTATTATCTAAGCAAGAGAAAAATATTCATAATAAATGTACAAGTAAGAATCTACTTTGACTTAATAAACAAACTAATCAAACAAAATTTTAATCTTTTAAGCTTCAGTGACATTCGATAACATATTCATTGTTGGGGAAACGTCACTTCATCGATTGTAGCTTTCGTGACTAGCTATCGTCCCTGATAATCATCGCTTCAGTGGTAGGTTTCATATATTGGTAAGGAAATTGTTCCTTTCATATATAATTCAGCAGTCGAACTAATAAGATCGCAAGTGCAGATTTTACGATCGCTACTCTCTAACCCAGAGCAAATCTAATAAATCACAAATTTTTGTTTCTTTGTGCGTTAAGTTGCAACCATTAAGTTTAAAAATGCCATCAAACATGAATAATAAACTGTAAGTTTTGGTGTAAAGCCATTTAAAGAAATATAGTGAAAAAAAATCGATTTTGTAGTGAATAATAAAAAGAAAAGAAAATAGAAAATAGTGCACGGATACCGAAACCAATCGGATCCAATCTAATTGGTGGCATAAGTTATGTAGTTTGTTGGTTGCCAATAAATGCATATAAAGTTTTGTATGTAGTGCTGTAGTTTAGTGTATATAGCTAAAAAATAAATAAATAAATATGGTGATGGTGGTGGTGTAACAGTAATATTTTAGCACATACGAGCTGTATGCAAACACACATACACGCAGGCAAAAGTACCCAGAGGTGTACTAATATGCGCATGTATCTGTGTGTGGGTGCGTGCGAGAGTCCACATAACCAAACAAAGACATGAGATAAGTGAAGAAAACGGCTGGTAAAGTAAATAATTGATTTCAAAAAATATAATCTATGTTGGTATTTTTGAAATGTGATTTTTTACTTTATTTTTTGCGTATTTTATTATGTTTTCTTTCTCTTTTCGTAGCAGCCATCTTGTACGCCTCACATACGTATGTATGTGGCTCTCACCCAAAGGCATAACTGAAATGGAGACGAATAATATATAGAGAGAGCGAGAAGCACTGATAAATATTTATTAGCTGTTCATGCGCGAATCAATTAAAGCTTGATTGCTAAAAATTGCGTGCAAAATAACAACAGAGGAGGGGACATCGATTTGTTTTGTTGACATGTTCGACCAGACAAATCTGGCAACGCTCGTTGCACATAGCACAAATGCAATTTTTTTTAACAATGTCACCTTTATTATACTTACAGCATATGTATGTATGTAATTGAGAAGTATGTGTTTTCATTGTAGAGTCGCTTTAAATGTCATTCGCTTTTACTTCTCGATTATCGTTAATTTTTTAACAAGTGCCGTAATTTATACATCAAACTGCTTGCACTTGTCAGGCAATGCAACTGCTTCGTTGCGACGGCGTCTGGATCTTTCTAGGCGTCTGCATGCAAACAAACGGGGCTTTGTGCAGTTATAATGCGGTAAATATTTTTGTGTGTATGTATATGTTCCTTATCATAATGTCCATATCCGACGAGTGCTCACATCATCAGCGTTATTCGCTCTTGTTCTTTGCTTATCTCGTTGCTAAAACAAACATAATAATTTGAAAAAACTCGACCCTTATGACTTCGTGTAGTTGCAAGAAGCTAAGCAATTCTAATAGGAGCAGAAAGACCGGTTTGTTTGTTAGCTGCGTCATTTATATTTACTGCTGCGTTTGTCATCCGGTTAGAAGCTTCAACCGCAAAGTGCAACTTTGTCTAAAACCTTAAAAAAATGTATTTGGTCCACTGTGCGCATACATTACATCACAAACAAAACAACACAGCACACAAATATGCACATACACGCACATACAAATTAATGTGAAGGGGCAATTCATGTACATATTTACAAACAATGGAAATTTCCACTCACCATGCAACTCAGCTGTGTGGCAAGTGAGCTTCGTACATAGATGTGTGTGAGTGAGAGAGAGCGTGTTTTCGTTGGCTTGCTTGCATGTTTATGTGTATGTGTGAAACAAGCGTTGCCAGCACAGCTCAATATTGGGTCAATTGACTAATGAAGCAGAGAAGAGCTTTCCATAGAATAATAGAATAGAAATAAGAGAAAAACAAAACCACTTCAGCAACTACTGACTCATAAGGTCACAAATTTAATGGAGGCTGCATTTTTTTTCCACTGCACGTTTACGTTTTTATTATCTTATCATCATGATAAACATCATAAAACTGTCAAGTTGCTTATCGTTGGCTGCTTTTCTTATTGCTATAATAATAATGAAAATAAAAAAAAATTGTATACTCATGTATTTAATCTCTCAAGTTGTGTGCGTTTCCATCGCTTATTGCGCCACATATTTGCTTAAAGTCACAATTTTCTACCTAACGTCTATTCATATTTACGGACAGCTTAATGCAGCAGTTTGCATCCATTTGACGTGCTTACTCAAGCAACTCATTTAAGTACATACATGTATGTATTTCGTTTATACAGCAAGAGATTTCATTATCTGTCCTCAACTTTTATCTAGATTACTGGCTAAAAGAACTTTGTTTTTGGTTTCACCGGTACTAAAACAAAAGCAAAAAGTATTAACAAATAAACTAACCTATTCTCAATTTGTCACGTGAAGCTACCTAGTTTCTAAATGATGATGTGATCATGATGCTTAGCGTGAAATATAAAAAAAAATCAATACGTGGTGTAAAATGCGAGCTGATCCACACACTTGCATAAATATACATTTATAAAAGCAATATTTCCATAGAAATAGTCGGGCGTGTTTTTGAAACATGAATTTACGTATAATGTGCAAAAGCTTTTGTTTGCACACTTGCTTATCTGCATACATATATACATATATGAATATACATATGCATATACATACATGTTTGTGTACATATCTGTAAATAAGTATATCAATGTACATATATGTTGGTGACGGCCTTTGTAGACGGCGCGTCACGCAGCCAGACATCGATTAGCTGCATGTTTATCGTTATCGTTTTTTGTTTTCTTTTCTTCGGCTATTTATAGCTTCTTAAAATTCGATGATTTGCAATTTTATTCTATTTTTTTTGTTTCTCTAAATTAGAACACGTGTTGATCTCGATTGTTATTCATGAGTTTTGAGCACGACCAAACCCATGTATTTATATATACATATGTATATATGTACTCTTATTTGAGGATCGCATATTTCGGTCCACTTAATTTGTCTGGTAAACAAAATTCTAATAAAAGAAAAGAAAAAAGCTGCAGAAACTATTTTCATTGGTGTGTTTGCCTAGACATAGACCGTCGAAGCAGCCATAACGCAAATGTAATTAGTATTTTCTTATTTCTACTGTTTGTTTTTGTTCATTTGCCATATTTTACGAGATAACACAACAAAGGAAATAGACGTAGAGCAATAGATGTTTAACCTTCAGAACAAGATTTCTAAAAACAGGCCCAAAGTTAGTTTTGTTTCTACAATAGCTAAACTGTACCACTGTGTATATTTGTGCCTATATAACCTAAGCAATGGCACACAAAAACTTACACATACACACTTAGGCATTAACATGCAGTTGTGTGTCTGTGTGTTCTGTGTCGGGGAGCTACTAAATCTTTTTATTTTTTTTTTTTAAATAAATGATGCCCCAGTCAGTGGGATGCTTTCAGTTGGCGGACACACGTTTAACGGTGCGGTACAGCTAGCAGCTAAACAAAAACGCAAATACAAGCACAATTCTTTATCGTTGTAAACAAAACAAACAGAGAGCGAGAGAGAGGCATATACCTTTCACAAGCATTTTCGATGTAAACTTCTAGACCTTTGCTTAAAAACAAACAGAACTGTGATAACGGGATCAAACCAAGAAACAAAAAATAGAACGCAACTGTGATAAATATAAATACATTTCTACACACATACATATATATATATACAATTGTAATAGAGCTTAGTGATGGCACTCGTTGACATGCAACAAAAGCTGCAACAACACCAGTCAGACTCTCCCATATCAGAGGATCAAATCGGGTAGGTGGTTTTTATATATCTCAGTGTATCCTGTTTAATTGAAAGCAATTTAATTGCACTTGCATGTCTGCACGTGCCATCGATTACACAGTATGTCATGGGGAAGGGGAGGCAAACAGGTGGGAGGCACTGTTCAATTGTGCTTGTTAAGTTAATATGCCGGATGGCACCCTGTTCGGCTCTCCTGCCCTGCTTTCTCTTCACAGAACTATAGAAAAAAGCTCTCAGTTCGCAACGCTTTGCCAAGTGCGCAGTTTGTTGTTTAATTGGCTGCAATAATATATGCATAGAAATGTTCATCCATACATATGCATATATTTTGTGCCAGTGTCAGCCCGGCTCGCGGGTTGAGTATATTCCAATAGTCTACTCTGTATGAACAGTAACTAAAGAGTGTATTCAAATTAGGGCATATCTTGATGCTCTTATGAGCAGTCTGCTGTATTTAATATAAATGTGTTGTCTGTGTTGATTAACCATTGAAATCGTAGCGAAAATGCGAATAAGTGAATAAAGAGAGCTGTCCGTCGACAGTCCAGTAAAGATTGTAAAACTGTCATGGAATTGCTCTCTTTGTATGATATTCGACGTTGCCCAAACTAACCCCGAATAACTGATATATTATACTGTTCTCTGTCTGCCAATGTCTTTTGTCCCTCAGTTCAGCGAATAGCGAAATGAAGAGAGCTATCCGTCGACAGTCAAGTTATATACATATTTTAATACTGTCATGGAATTGCTCTCTTTGTATAATATTCGAAAAGCGACGATATATATGTATAAATTATATATATATTATCTATATGTTCTTGTTCATTTGTCCTTTTAATTGGTGTTGGGTTCTTCTTCCACTCATCTAGGCCAAATAAAAACAAGGGGTTTCACGTTTTGAAATTCAAGTTTCTATCGTCTTATTTGTTCTCTTTCACTTTATAATAAGATATTCAACATGTGTATTTTTGTTTTTGCGTCCCGCCCGCTAAGAATAAATGCCCTTAAATTATATTAGTAGAATGTGCACCCGTTTGCTTCCTTCATTTACAAGCCGCCACGTCCACGTCCGCCTGTTGGGCCGCCTTGCCATGCGCCGCGTCCGCCACCACCGGGTGCACCGGGTGGGCCGCCACCTCGTCCTCCTCCTGGCGGTCCCGATCCTCTGCCACCTCTACCGCGCGCTGTTAAACGACAGAAAAACGAGCACATTAGCACATGATACGGCGAATAAGTATATTGCAAATGCCTGACTCACCCTGTGCTCGCAATATAGCTGCTTTGCCGCGGCCCGCTGTGCCACCAAGACCTTTGCCGGTTTGCTTTTTAAACATCGGCGCATTCTTCAACATGTCGGGCAGTATGAGAAAACGTATCTTCGAGCCGCGTATGTACACATTCTCCAGATTGGCCGTGCGCCCATCTCGATATGTAACCGTAATTTGTGTCATTTGGCAATTCATATTGTCCTCTGCCTCGATGAGCTTGCCGCGGTAGACTTCGCCGGTGATAGTCTCGCAAGTGATTATATGGCCCTCAGCCTCGTGCAGAACTTTGATTGGTACACCGATCGACATTTTTCAAGCGAATTTATTCAATAATAGGTTTGTAATTCAATAATTTTACGCGTATTTTGCAGATGCTGCAAATTTTCGGTGTTTTTTCTTTGCGCAAACGTTTACGAGTGAATGAATGTGTGTGCTACAGCTGCCAGAGCCGCCATGCTGTGGTGAAAAAGTCTGCGTGCGCAGGGTTGTATTACTGCGGCATGATGGCGCGATAATTTAGTTATCGGAGTGGCATGTTGTGTTATCGCCGCTCGTAGATTTTGTATCGCAGATAACGCCCGCTCTTATCTTTAAAAACATTCTGAACAAGTCTGCGTCATAAAAAATGTGTTTAATTTGATGTGACTTTACCGATAAAGTTCATGTTTCGAAACTCTCGTATGTTAGTTTTACTCAGGCTATTGCGCCGTAAAGCTGTTTTGTGCCTTGCCACTAATTTTCCCTATAAAAATGAATTGGTAAATTTGATCTGGGATTAAACTACAAAATCGATTGATCATTTGATAGAATGCTTTAAATTTATACTAACTTGTGAATGCTTGTGTGTTCTTTTTGGTTTCTTTGCTTCTATTTTTATTTCTTTCACAGCGACCCAATGTTTAGTAGTAACTTTGTTAGAAGAGATTTTAATGATAGCGGAGTTGCTGGATGTTCTGATGGCAAACTCCGTACGATTTCGACTTCGTCTTGCGCCACGAACATGTCGACTGAGTCCTACCGCATCTCTCTCGGCGTAGGGCCTCTGTGGTGGTCCTGATGTCCCTGTCCACCACAGAACAGATCACGATAGGGCATCGCTCTTAACGGGTAAGTATAGTCGAATTCTCCTCACAATGAATTTAATTAATTAAAATGTATTCGACAGGCTACAGCCGTAAGTCTTCGGTCGACTCGGCTGGCGGCAGCTTGTTTGAGGCCAGCTCCCGGGCATCCTCACCGTCTTCGTCCTCGGTTTGTTCCGACGCGGAGTCGCAGGACATACATTCGATATGTTCAGAGGATGATTCCCAGGAGGTCTTGCGTCAGATCTTGCAGCATGATCAACCCGTGCAAATCTCCATCAAATTGCACGTTGCCGAGGATATATCAACCAACTGGATGTCGATTTTGAATCCGACGAATAACATTCTATATGTCGCCTTTCCCACTGACTTGCCACCAGGGGGCTCCAAGCAGACATTCGTATCTCTGCTAGAGTTCGCCGAGGATAAGTTGGAGGTCGACGGCATTGTGTTGGTTATGCGCAAGGATCAACCGGAATGTGCACGTCTAATCGAGGCATTCCTGTTTATGGGCTTCGAACCGCTGTCGAGGAAATCACCGAAGGCACCACCAGCAGCTGTCAACGATAATGAACACTACTATTTCCTTTACACCATCGAGGAGTAGGGGAATGGACATCAAAGCGTTGGCAAAGCAATTTTAAAAATCAAAACGATTTACAACACAAACAATATATAATCGAGCCACAAAAAATAACCAAAACAGACAACAAATTAAATCACAATTTAACTAAAGTTTCAACACTCTTAGAGAGTGCTTTTTGCCCTATAAACCGTTTAGTAGTGCTTCACCCTCACCTATTGACCCCGAAAGTGTTCAAATGAAAACTTTTTGAAATCGTTTTGAAATATTTTTAAAAAAATTTCTTTGTCAATGCAAAACATTTTCCCTTTATTTTTATTATGTAGCGACATTGCGTTGGCCACGTTAAGAGCAAGCTTCAACTTGTCGTAAATTATTCTACAACATATATAATCACAAACAAAAAAAATATTGAAAAAAATGCGAAAAAAAAATACTAAAACTACGAAAAAACTTAACAAAAAAAAATGAAATTTGTATTAGTCTTAAGTTTTGATTCCGAATTATTATTTTATTTTTTCTTTTTCTTGTATTAATCATATTTTTTGTTGTTTAAAATCAATTCTGTTTAACACTTTTTTTATGTATACATATTCTTTTTTGGTAAATTCCCACATATATGTATTCCTTATAAGCAAGCATATTTTATATATTATATTCAACATATTTTTTTTTTATTACTATTTTTGTATAATCATTGAATGAAAAAATCATTCGAAAGCAAAGCAAAACATATTTATATAATTTAAAAACAAATACTTGAAACATATAACCTATACAGAAATATACAAATATATCTACATATATATATTCACACTTTAGAGAAAACAATAGATTAAATACACAGAACCTAGAGCAAAAATATAAGTATTTATGTTTTTAATTTCATTTAATTTCACATTTTCTTCGTTCATTTATCGATTATATGCAATAAAAATTCATGATAAAATAAACTTCATATAGTTATATATATATATGTTTAATGAAGGACAGATAAGTATGTCGATATATTGACGTGGATTATATTTATATATATGTAGAGTGAGATAGCCGAAGCAGCTGGCTTATATTATAGGTTTTACCTGGACTTCTTGATTATTTCCATTTTATCAATATTATCTAACTTTGTCTATAATTCATGCGTCACATCCAGCCGAAATGGACTACCTAGAAGTCGAGTTTATAGCTTGAACTCATCTATAACCGACGATCTACTTGCTTTCAAATTCATAAACTGTAGCATATGCTACATTTCGCTCTTTATAGCCGATAAAATGGCACAAACGAACTCATTTCGAGAAATATAGCTATATATGTATGTGTGTATGTGTATGATATAGGGGCTGGAGAGTTGCTTCACTGCTCATATAAAAGATAACGTTATAAACGGCAGCGGAAGAGTTTCCGAAAGCAGTCGACACTCGAACGTCTGCCTGTGCACACATCGAACGGGAATCGTGTTGAAAGTTGGATTAATATTGGAGATATCATGCTGAAGTCGGTAAGTTACATAGAGAAAGAGACAGTGAGAGAGAGAAAGAGAGGGACAGCGAAGGAAAGGGGGCCGATATGGTTATCTTATCCGCTGCGATAGCAGCTGTCCCAATCCCGAACCGGATGAAATATGTTAAAAGTTTATGAACGGAATTCTTGTGTATTGCTTTTTTTGTGGTTACAATAAATGAATGAGGTCGATATATATTTATATATTATATATAATAATACTTTATAGCTATAATTCTTTACATTATATCCTTCTGCTTAAGCTTTCCTTAAATAGTGTTTAGCTATTGTTAAGTTAATCAGTTGAACTATCTCTGATGGGTAAAGTTCAACTAATTGTTGATATATTTTTAATCAACAATAGCCAAAGTTACAAATACTTAGAAATATGTCTGTGCAGGTATTTAAAAAACATCCTCCCGGTATTATCATTGATTTCTACTAACTTCAACTAGCTTACTGACAAATTGCAAAAATAAATATATGCACATATATATGTATATACAAAATTTATTTTGTCTTGCATTTTTTTTTTTTAGTTTGTTTATATTTTAAATTTTTTTTTACAAAAAAAAAAAAAATTTATTTTAGTAAAAATTTATAATTTTATATATTTTTATTCTTTTATTTTATAGTATTTATATTCTTAATTTTTAAATATTAACTACATAAACATTCGATTTTGAGAATAGATTACAAAATTTACAGTTATTTTTCTTGAAATATTATTAATTTTTAATCGCTATATTTCTAATATTAATTTTTGCATACAATTTGAATCTTTAGCTTTTTATCATTGCCACAATGTTGTTGGCCCTTGGGCTGGCCCTCCAGCCAGTCGAGGACCACGAGAAGACACAGAAGCATCTGGGCGCGGCACCACAGCACGCTGCTCATCTGCCAGAGCACCACCAGAAGCATCATGTGGTGGCTCCAGCCCCTGATCATCACAAGTCCGCACAGCATCACAAGCATCATCCACACATTGAGCCCAAAGACAAGGAGAATGTGAATCATGGCCGTGTGAATGTGCCAATCGCTCCACATCATTCCAAGGCGAGCCGTCACGGCAGACGCCACAAGCAGCCCAAGAACGGCAAAGCCTCCAAGAACAATCATGCCCAGCACTCGCATCATAAGTCCGCGCATCACAAGAAGCCAACGCACAAGGGACATGCGCGCAGGCATCATTAGAAGCTTCATATGTTTATATGCGAGGGCTGTATGAAAAAGTTGCCGAACTTCAAGTGAAACTGCATTGAAGCAGAGAAAAGGCTAAAGAAAATATTTAATAGAATTTTATTTAAATATCTATTTGCAACTCCACAACTTTGCATGCCACCCTCGCATAAACATATATATAAACCTATATATTAACATGGCTTTAAACAAATTTTCGCTTAACATTTTGTTTAGTTTAATGCACAAAAATGTTTCGTTGCCACATTAACAAAAAAAAAAAACTGAACAATTAAAACCAAACAAAACCCAAAATATTTTAACTTTTTTTTTATTTTATTCAAGTTTACAAAGCTGTAATTGTTTTCTTTTTGAACCTTTTGAACTGCACTCATTATGCTGGAAGCTTGTGTGTGTCGTAAATCTGCTCAAGAGGGCTTCAGAGTTCAACTATATACATATACATATGTATATGTATGTATTTATATAGAGTATATATAATACTTGACTAACACTTTCTGTTATGTAGAAGGCGTCGCGTCGCTTCGTCTACAACATTTTTTTATTATCATCTTCTTCGGAAGCGCTTTAAAGACTCTCTTGCAAACCAGTTTTCCAACTACGTTAATCAGTGCAAAAACACAAAAAAAAACAACTTTTTTTTATCAAGTAATAAATGTTAACTTATTTTTTGCTGTTGCTGGCGTTAATTGTTGTATGGGGTCAAAAGCATTTATGACGTCATCTTGTGTCAAAAACAAAAGAAACACTGTCTGAACTTGTTTTCCATACTCGCTCATCGTAAGTCGAAGAGTATATTGGCTTTACTATGGATATTAGTATGGACATGAGACTATTCAAAAATGTATATAGCTAAAGGGCTTTTATTAGGTTAAGACTTTTTAGAGTTAAGTCTCCTAGATAATCCGATTAGGGAGATATACCCCTCTTAATGCTAAAATCTCTTATGGAAGTGGCATAGCTCTAGTTTTAGAACTGTTTAGATATAAATAAACTCAGCATGAGCGCGCATTAGGCAGTCGATTAGAGCCGACTGCAATGCTCGTATTTGTTTTATTTTGTTGCTTGACACAGTGGTCGAGTGAAAGGCGCAGCAAGTATTTTGATAATGTATATTATATTATAAAGAAAGACACTTGAGCTTATGTAGTTAGCAGAAATGTCTAAAATTCAAGTGAAATCTTATCAAAACATATAAAATGTTAGAAGGTATATGGGAAGGTATACATTAAATATATATACATATGTTTATACAGCATTGTCAATATAAAATCCTTTTATCTTTATTATTAAATTATTTTGGTAATTTTTTAATCATGTTATTTTTAATTATAATTTGTTAATATACCTATAGATAATATATATTCTCATCAAAATAGAATAATGTAAATAAATATTTTTAATTTTTTTTTACATTTTAATTTCATATTTTGTATAGATAATCATCTTTAGTTTTTCAGTTAAATAAATATTTATTAGCTTGTTAGTATCTGCATATTAGGTGCTATAAATATATGTATATAATATTAATTTTATAAAAATACAAGTGTCATACACAAATATATACATTCTAAATGGCTAACGGTCCGTTGTATTGTGTCTTGATCTCAGCCCCAAACTGGATAAATGGGTCGGCGATAGTAGCGTCCGTAGCCTCTGTAACCGCCATAGCCATAACCGCTATATCCGCCGTATTTGTAGCCGCCATAGCCGCCGTAATATGGACGATAGTAAGAGGGCGCATAATAGCCGATGCCAATGCTGTCCGCCGTAGAAAGGTCATCCACCTCGGCCGAAGCATCAGCAATTGCGATACTCTATGTGAAAAATTAAATAAAAACAAATATATAAAACGGATTTCAATTAAGAATAATATTAGATATTAATTTGAAAAGATTTAATTACCTCTGAAGGCGCCGCTTGTGTACACATGACTAGAACAGTCAAAAATAGAAAGCCAAGCAAAAACTAGAAATGGAGCATAGTTAAGTAAATTAATATGCTAGTTATATTTCCATATAGAACTCTTACCTTTGCCATTGTTAATATTTACTCGTAGTATTTGTGAAATCTAGCAATAGAAATTTGTTGTTTTTCTTAGCAAATTAGCGCCTTTCGTTCAGAAGTGGGTTCTGTTTGGTAGCGCTGTTGTTATTGAACTGTGCTGTCCGACAACCTGGAGTAGATCTTTTATATCGTCCGCAAAAAAATAAATAGCCGGAGATTGATTTTTCATATGATGCTCATTGATTGGTCAAACATAAGTCTGGAGAAGTCGTCAATTGTGTGTGAATTGTTTGTTTTATAATGCTTGTATTCATATGCGCCAGGGTCATATATTACACAAAAATTGTTTTGTTTCTGAATGCATACAATAATTAAAACTAATCACTAAATTAAGAGAACATGTTTTCCGCTTCACATCGAAAAATTCCAGTAATTCGTCAGTAAGTAAATATTCTGACGCACTACACATCAAAAAGGCTCTAATAAGCAATACAAATACATTTACTGCTTATTCATTATTACAATTAGAACATTGCTGGGGGATTTCTTTAGTTTATTATTGTTTGTTTTGAAATCGATTCAAAGTTTATATTTACCTAACGTCTAAATATCGATTTGGTTTAGTGGGGCCCGGTCAACCTATCGTCTATCGATGTTGACTTGCAAAAAATATCGGGTCATCTCTGAAAAATGTCTGCCGCATCGTAAACGTTTTGCAAGAAACCCCGGAAAATTGTTTAAAATCCTATTAAAAGTAATTGAAATTGTTAAATTAGGTAACTACTTAATATATAAAAGATTTATTTTTAGTTTGAATACGGAATTTTATGAGCGGCTTGCATTCTTTGCGTTAAAATAGCTGTGGTGAAAATATCAAAACGCGGCGACGTCTGCTGCTGCTGCTCTCTGCTTCTTTTTCTTTTTCCGCGTAAACGAAACGTGTGTATAGTTTTTTTTTTTTCGTTTTAATTAATATGTATATACATTTTCATTTATGTTTTAAAGTTGACTGAGCGATGTCTATACCGCCGTATATGATACCGCCCAATGCCTGGGCCGCCCAACTGATGGCCCAGCAGCAGGCATATGCGGCGGCCCATGCACAGCAGGCTCAGCTGCATGCTCAGCATCAGATGGCCAACCAGATACAGCAAATACCACCACCGGGCGCTCCATTGCCCCCAGCGGGTCATGCCAATGGCATTCCAGTACCGGCACAGGGAGTGCCTCAGCCCCAACTAGGTCAGATACCAACGCCAAAGCCGGATATTCTGACCGAAGATAAGCTGCAGGAGAAGGCGCTCAAGTGGCAGCATTTGCAGTCCAAGCGATTTGCTGAAAAACGCAAATTCGGCTTTGTTGATACACAGAAAGAGGATATGCCGCCGGAGCATATACGCAAGATCATACGTGACCACGGTGATATGACCTCTCGCAAATATCGGCACGATAAGCGCGTCTATCTGGGTGCACTCAAATATATGCCACATGCTGTGCTGAAGCTTCTCGAGAATATGCCTATGCCCTGGGAGCAAATTAGAGATGTGCAGGTGCTGTACCACATAACAGGCGCCATTACCTTTGTCAATGAGATTCCCTGGGTAATTGAGCCCGTCTACATAGCACAGTGGGGGTAAGTTTCACTAATGTAACTCCTATCTAAATTAAGCTTATCAGTGGGTCACATTTTACAGCACAATGTGGATTATGATGCGTCGTGAAAAGCGTGATCGTCGTCACTTCAAGCGCATGCGTTTCCCGCCCTTTGATGACGAGGAGCCGCCATTGGACTACGCAGACAACGTGCTGGATGTAGAGCCTCTGGAGGCCATACAAATCGAGCTCGACAGCGATGAAGATAATGCTGTATACAAGTGGTTCTACGATCATAGACCATTAGTCGATACACCGTAAGCAGAACAGCTATAAAAACAAACAAATTCAAGTGAAATAAACTCAATTTCTGCTCATAGCTATGTAAATGGATCCACTTACCGCAAATGGAATCTGTCGTTGCCACAGCTGGCTACGCTTTATCGTCTGGCAAATCAGTTGCTCACCGACTTGGTCGACAATAATTTCTTTTATCTGTTTGATCCAAAGAGCTTCTTTACGGCCAAAGCACTCAACATGGCCATACCTGGAGGGCCCAAGTTCGAGCCCCTTATCAAGGATCATAATGTTGGGTAAGTAATTAAAATAAATATATTTAATAATGATTTAACTATTTGCTTTTTCTTGCAGTGATGAGGACTGGAATGAGTTCAATGACATTAATAAAGTTATTATAAGACAACCCATACGAACGGAGTATCGCATTGCATTTCCATATCTATACAACAATATGCCACATTTTGTGCATCTCAGCTGGTAAGGCACTTATATATTTATGTAATTATTTATAGCTACAAGGTAGTAGAGTTTCCAGTTTAAGACACTGGCTGGTAACGCTTCAAGCCCTGTTAGATTAAAAAACCACGCCCAATTTACTACCAATTTAGCGATTGTCTTCGAATGGGTGGTGCAATGTAAATGTTCGTTATGATTGTGTAGACTAAATTTTAACTGCTGATAGTTGCATACAAAAATATAGACACAACTTATATATAGAAATTAGATATAGAATACTTGTAATATATTTATTCATATTTTTCAGGTATCACACTCCAAACGTTGTCTACATCAAGACCGAGGATCCTGATTTGCCTGCCTTTTACTTTGATCCTTTAATCAATCCCATTTCGCATCGTAATGCTAACTCCAAGATCCAGGAGCCCATGCCAGACGATGATGAGGACTTTACGTTGCCCGATGATGTGCAGCCTTTTCTGCAGGACACGCCGCTCTATACAGACAACACGGCGAATGGCATTGCGCTGCTGTGGGCACCGCGTCCCTTCAATATGCGCTCGGGTCGCTCACGTCGTGCTATTGATGTGCCGCTGGTCAAGTGTTGGTACAAGGAACATTGTCCACCTGGTCATCCGGTCAAGGTGCGCGTCAGCTATCAGAAGCTGCTCAAGTACTATGTGCTCAACGCATTGAAGCACCGCAAGCCGAAGCCGCAAAAGAAACGGTAGGTTAATTAAAACAGCATCACAAATTGTTATATATTTATATATATTTTCATATCTTCTATTCGCAGCTATTTGTTCCGTTCATTCAAGGCCACCAAGTTCTTCCAAACCACCACCTTGGATTGGGTTGAGGCTGGCTTGCAGGTGTGTCGCCAGGGCTATAATATGCTCAATCTGCTTATTCACCGCAAGAATCTTAACTACCTGCATTTGGACTACAACTTTAACTTGAAGCCGGTTAAGACCTTGACCACTAAGGAGCGTAAAAAGTCCCGTTTCGGCAATGGTAATTAATCATAATCAGATATATTCCTTGCCTTGTATTAATTTTATTTTCTTGCAGCTTTCCATTTGTGCCGTGAGATTTTGCGTCTGACTAAACTGATCATTGACTCGCATGTACAGTATCGTCTCAATAACGTGGACGCCTTTCAGCTAGCTGATGGCCTGCAGTATATCTTTGCCCATGTGGGCCAGCTGACGGGCATGTATCGCTACAAATACAAACTGATGCGGCAGATACGCATGTGCAAGGATTTGAAGCATTTAATCTACTATCGCTTCAACACGGGACCCGTGGGCAAGGGCCCTGGCTGTGGCTTCTGGGCGCCTGGCTGGCGTGTTTGGTTGTTCTTTATGCGTGGCATTACACCGCTGCTCGAACGCTGGCTGGGCAACCTGTTGTCGCGTCAATTCGAGGGTCGTCATTCGAAGGGCGTGGCCAAGACGGTGACCAAACAGCGTGTTGAATCCCATTTCGACTTGGAGTTGCGTGCCTCAGTTATGCACGATATTGTGGACATGATGCCCGAGGGTATTAAGCAAAACAAGGCGCGTACTATACTCCAGCACCTGTCCGAGGCTTGGCGCTGCTGGAAGGCCAACATACCGTGGAAGGTGCCCGGTCTGCCCATACCCATAGAGAACATGATATTGCGTTATGTGAAAATGAAAGCCGATTGGTGGACGAACACGGCGCACTACAATCGTGAGCGTATACGTCGTGGTGCCACTGTCGATAAGACAGTCTGCAAAAAGAATTTGGGTCGTTTGACGCGTTTGTATTTGAAGGCCGAGCAGGAACGGCAGCATAATTACCTCAAGGATGGTCCTTATATATCGCCCGAAGAGGCGGTGGCCATATATACCACAACGGTACATTGGTTGGAATCGCGTCGCTTTGCGCCCATACCCTTTCCTCCGTTGTCCTATAAGCACGACACTAAGCTGCTGATTTTGGCCTTGGAGCGTCTGAAGGAAGCGTACAGCGTAAAGTCGCGCTTGAATCAAAGCCAGCGCGAGGAGCTGGGTTTGATTGAGCAGGCCTACGATAACCCGCACGAGGCGTTGTCCCGTATCAAACGTCATCTGTTGACTCAACGTGCTTTCAAGGAGGTGCGATCCATTTATAATGCTTGATTGCGTTTAGTTGTTCATTAATCGTTTTCTCTTTGCAGGTGGGCATCGAATTTATGGATCTGTATAGCCATTTAATACCTGTTTACGAAGTGGAGCCCTTGGAGAAGATCACCGATGCCTATTTGGATCAGTATCTGTGGTATGAGGCAGACAAACGCAGACTGTTCCCGCCATGGATCAAGCCCAGCGATACGGAGCCACCACCGCTATTGGCCTACAAATGGTGTCAAGGTAGAGCAGAGCCTTTCATATTGGATATATACTATTCGCAGTGCTATATCTATCATATATATCTGCGCATTTTGGTCGTGTGATTTGTGGCAAAGTGATGAGCTATGATCCATCCCCTTGTTGCAAACCTCACGCCGAAGGTGACGCATAAGCATCAAGAATTGAAAGACATCTGAGTAAACTTAATGAGATCTACAAATTTAGAAGTCAAATTCTAACGCTTATCTTCTCTCCGCCAGGTATCAACAATTTGCAGGATGTCTGGGACGTCGGTGAGGGCGAATGCAATGTGCTGCTCGAATCACGCTTTGAGAAGCTTTACGAGAAGATTGATTTGACTTTGCTCAATCGTCTGTTGCGTCTCATTGTGGATCACAATATCGCCGATTATATGACAGCGAAGAACAACGTCGTTATTAACTACAAGGACATGAATCATACGAACAGCTATGGCATTATACGTGGCCTACAATTCTCTTCGTTCATCACACAGTACTATGGACTTGTTTTGGATTTGTTGGTGCTGGGTCTGCATCGTTCCAGCGAAATGGCTGGACCACCGCAAATGCCCAACGATTTCCTAACATTCCAGGATGCAGTCACAGAGACAGCGCATCCTATTCGACTTTACTGTCGCTACGTGGATCGCATACATTTGTTCTTCAGATTTTCGGCTGAGGAAGCGCGCGACCTTATTCAGCGTTATCTGACCGAGCATCCAGATCCGAATAATGAGAATATCGTGGGCTACAATAACAAAAAATGCTGGCCACGCGATGCGAGAATGCGTTTGATGAAGCACGATGTTAATCTGTAGGTCTAGCATGACAATTCTTGGCAGTATTGTTTGCTAATATTTGCTTTTTTCTCTCTCTAGGGGTCGCGCTGTGTTTTGGGACATCAAGAACCGTTTGCCTCGCTCTGTGACTACCATTGGCTGGGAGAGCACTTTCGTCTCGGTCTATTCCAAGGACAATCCCAATCTGTTATTCAACATGAGCGGCTTCGAGTGTCGCATTCTGCCCAAGGTTCCTTTGCCTTCCCGTTTCCATTTAAGTTCAGTTAATAATTTCTTTTATTTCTCGTGTTTACTCTTTAGTGTCGCACGCAAAATGAGGAGTTTACGCATCGTGATGGCGTTTGGAATTTGCAGAATGAGATAACAAAGGAGCGCACGGCTCAGTGTTTCCTGCGCGTCGATGATGAGTCGCTGGGACGTTTCCATAATCGTGTGCGGCAAATTTTAATGGCCTCCGGCTCCACCACATTCACAAAGGTGAGTTCAATTTAATCTGATTAAAGCAAGTGTTTAATTTCAATTGAACCTTTCCAGATTGTCAACAAATGGAACACGGCTTTAATTGGTCTGATGACCTATTTCCGCGAGGCTGTTGTGAATACGCAGGAGCTCCTCGATTTGCTGGTTAAGTGTGAAAATAAGATTCAGACGCGTATTAAGATTGGCTTGAATTCCAAAATGCCCTCGCGTTTCCCGCCCGTGGTGTTCTATACGCCCAAAGAGCTGGGCGGCTTGGGCATGTTGAGCATGGGCCACGTGCTGATACCGCAATCCGATCTGCGCTGGTCCAAGCAGACCGACGTGGGCATTACGCATTTCCGCTCCGGTAAGTGAGGCAATACATTTCATCCATTTCTTCGCTAACTGGGAAATTCTTGACAGGCATGTCGCATGACGAGGATCAGCTTATACCAAATCTGTATCGTTATATACAGCCATGGGAGAGTGAATTCATTGACTCGCAGCGTGTTTGGGCAGAGTATGCGCTAAAGAGACAGGAAGCAAATGCACAGAATCGTCGCCTGACACTGGAGGATCTGGAGGATAGCTGGGATCGTGGTATACCGCGTATCAATACGCTCTTCCAGAAGGATCGTCACACGCTGGCTTACGACAAGGGCTGGCGCATTCGCACTGAGTTCAAACAGTATCAGGTGCTCAAGCAGAATCCCTTCTGGTGGACACATCAGCGACACGATGGCAAATTGTGGAATCTGAACAACTATCGCACAGACATGATCCAAGCGCTGGGCGGTGTGGAAGGCATCCTGGAGCATACACTGTTCAAGGGCACCTACTTCCCAACGTGGGAGGGTCTGTTCTGGGAGAAGGCATCCGGCTTTGAGGAGTCCATGAAGTACAAGAAGCTGACAAATGCTCAGCGCTCTGGTCTCAATCAGATACCCAATCGTCGCTTCACGCTCTGGTGGTCACCGACTATCAATCGTGCCAACGTTTACGTCGGTTTCCAGGTGCAGCTGGATCTAACGGGCATTTTCATGCACGGCAAAATTCCCACACTGAAAATCTCGCTGATTCAAATCTTCCGTGCTCACTTGTGGCAGAAGATACACGAATCGATTGTCATGGATTTGTGTCAGGTGTTCGATCAGGAGCTGGATGCCCTTGAGATTGAGACGGTGCAAAAGGAGACGATACATCCGCGTAAATCATATAAAATGAATTCCTCGTGTGCCGATATACTGCTGTTCCCTGCCTACAAATGGAACGTGTCGCGACCTTCGCTGCTAGCAGACACCAAGGACACCATGGACAATACAACGACACAGAAATATTGGCTGGATATACAGCTGCGTTGGGGTGATTACGATTCGCACGACGTGGAGCGTTATGCAAGGGCAAAGTTCCTGGACTACACCACGGATAACATGTCCATTTATCCGTCGCCGACGGGCGTGCTCATTGCCATCGATTTGGCTTACAATTTGCACTCGGCCTACGGCAATTGGTTCCCCGGCTGCAAGACTCTGATCCAACAGGCCATGGCCAAGATCATGAAGGCCAATCCGGCGCTGTATGTGCTGCGCGAGCGTATACGCAAGGCCTTGCAACTGTACTCATCGGAGCCCACGGAACCGTACCTTAGCTCCCAGAATTATGGCGAACTCTTCTCGAATCAAATCATTTGGTTTGTGGACGATACGAATGTCTATCGCGTCACCATCCACAAGACCTTTGAGGGTAATTTGACCACGAAGCCCATCAACGGCGCCATCTTCATCTTCAATCCACGTACTGGACAGCTGTTCTTGAAGATCATCCACACGTCCGTGTGGGCGGGTCAGAAGCGTTTGGGCCAGCTGGCCAAGTGGAAGACGGCCGAGGAAGTGGCTGCCCTGATTCGTTCGCTGCCCGTTGAGGAGCAGCCGAAGCAGATTATTGTCACACGCAAAGGCATGTTGGATCCGCTTGAGGTGCATTTACTTGACTTCCCCAACATTGTCATCAAGGGCTCGGAGTTGCAGCTGCCCTTCCAGGCCTGCCTCAAGGTGGAGAAGTTTGGCGACTTGATTCTGAAAGCCACCGAGCCGCAAATGGTGTTGTTCAATCTGTACGATGACTGGCTAAAGACGATATCCTCATATACGGCATTCAGTCGTTTGATATTGATACTGCGTGCCCTGCACGTGAATACGGAGCGAACGAAGATCATACTGAAGCCGGATAAGACAACCATAACGGAGGCGCATCACATTTGGCCCACGCTAACGGACGAGGAATGGATCAAGGTGGAGGTGCAGCTGAAGGATCTCATTCTGGCCGATTACGGCAAGAAGAACAACGTGAACGTTGCCTCGCTGACACAGTCCGAGATCCGTGACATCATTCTGGGCATGGAGATCAGCGCACCGTCCGCACAGCGTCAACAGATTGCCGAGATCGAGAAACAGACGAAGGAACAGAATCAGTTGACGGCCACCACGACGCGCACAACGAACAAGCACGGAGATGAGATTATCACGTCAACCACCTCGAACTATGAGACGCAAACGTTTAGCTCGAAGACCGAATGGCGCGTGCGTGCGATATCCGCAACGAATCTGCACTTGCGTACGAATCACATCTATGTCAGCTCCGACGATATCAAGGAAACGGGCTATACGTATATTTTGCCAAAGAATATACTGAAGAAGTTCGTCACGATATCCGATTTGCGTGCACAGATCGCTGGCTATTTGTACGGTGTGAGTCCGCCGGATAATCCGCAGGTGAAGGAGATACGCTGCATTGTGATGCCGCCACAGTGGGGCACACATCAGACAATCAATCTGCCCAATGCCCTGCCCACGCATCAGTATCTGAAGGATATGGAGCCACTTGGCTGGATTCACACGCAACCGAATGAACTGCCGCAGCTGTCGCCGCAGGACATCACCACCCATGCCAAGATCATGCAGGAGAACTCCAATTGGGATGGCGAGAAGACAATCGTCATTACCTGCTCCTTCACGCCCGGCTCCTGCTCCCTGACGGCCTACAAACTGACGCCGTCCGGCTTCGAATGGGGCTCCAAGAATACGGACAAGGGCAATAATCCCAAGGGATATCTGCCATCGCACTATGAACGCGTTCAAATGCTGCTGTCCAACAAGTTCCTCGGATTCTTCATGGTGCCGGCGCAGGGCAGTTGGAACTACAATTTCATGGGCGTGCGACACGATCCGAATATGAAATACGAACTGCAATTGGCCAATCCGAAGGAGTTCTATCACGAACTGCACCGCACATCGCATTTCCTGCTCTTCTCCAATCTGGAGGATGGCGGCGATGGCGCCGGCGCTGATCGTGAGGATGTCTATGCCTAAAGCAATTGTAAATCTATTTTAAGCGCGTACAAAACACATTTTTATAAGACAATTTTTGTGACTAAACGAGAAAAGAGAAAGGAGAAAGAAAAGCCTTCAAATTAATATTTGCAAATTAACCAACTTGTTTATTAATATTTATACATATATATATATATATTTGTTGTCTCTTTTGCTGCAGTTGCCATGGCAGCTCACCTAACTACTGGCCATATTTACATTTCGGTTTAACTTAATACATAACATTAACTATAATATATGCTATGGAGGCATATGCTGCTTGAGGGAATACAAAAATTTCCACTTATATTTGTAGTTTTCTAGGTACGTCGGTTGCTCTGCTTGAGCCACTCCATTTAGGAGCACTTCCACAGCACAATGGCCATATTGCCGCCAAAGAATAGATAGAGTATGTTCTCAGTCTCGTAGGACACCTCGAAGCCGAACCCCTCGCCGACCACCACATGCCAATAGATGCCAAATTTCTTGTCCATGGTGTCCTTTATCATTCGGGCACATGTCTGTGAAAAAGACAGAGGATTTAGCTTAAGATCTAGATAAGATATTTATATTATATGTAAGATCTATGTCTGATGAAATGTGAGATAAGGACCGATAGAGGTTAAGCTCTTTTTATAGGCTTAGTTGTCAAGCGATCTATCTATCTAAATTATTATATTACTATGCTATAAATTGACTTACTCTAACATAAGATTTTCTTGGACTTAGTAATAGATAACAACAACTATATCATACTCTGCATGATCAGCAATTACAGGGTATTCACCTTGTCGTCTTTTCATGGAACTCACCTCATAATTGGAAGAGAATTTCTCGCACATGCCAACGACCAGCTCGACGACCTCGTGACGCATTTCCTCCTTCATATCCGAGTGCTATATGGATAAAGGATATCAGGTTAGAGTATCTGAGAGTTGGCTTGAGGACGAGACCAACCTTGACGAGCGGATAGATGTGCACGATTTTCTTATCGCCCTCCTTGACGCCTTCCTCTTCGGCCATGTCGAAGCTGAGGCTTAATAGTAACTAAGCTAAGCGACTATAAATGTTACCTATATAACCGACTAGGATGCAGGTGTATATATATTTGAGGACACGCGAAAACCGCGCAAGCACACACACACTCACGCGCTCTCATGCACTCACTCACACAGTGAACGAATAATGTAATAAAAATTGAGTTAAATTCCGATTTATATGTGACATGGAATTCAAGGTAGTATTACCTCTATACAGAGTGAGGGAGACGGTGTGAGAGTGAGTGAGGGCAAGTATGTGAATGAATGTTATTGTGAATGAGTGAATGTTTATGAATTTGTTGGCACGCCAGGTAAAGGTAGCTGCTATGGCAATTTGTTGTGCTGTTGCCTGTTCTGTAGCTCGTTTCACTTGCAACTGACTCGACGTCAACTCCATTAACTTTGCTGCAAGACACACGCACACACATATATGTGTGTCTGTGTGTTTGTTAGTGTATTTAATGTCGCCCTGTCTGTTAGCCACCCTCTAGTTGCCAAACAAAAGCAATTTCCGTGCAACGAAGGGTGCCAAGCTAGACGAAACGGATGCCTCGTCATCGTCATCATCTTTCTAGAGTTGAATATATACATATATATATATGTTTATTGGTTATCCAAGTTGCTGGAGCAGGAGTCTGCATTTGCTGCGAAAATTGAATAGTTTTGACCCAAAACAACCCCTGGCCAAAAGAGAGCGAGTCCTTCAACGGAATTGTCTTATTTGATTTATGCGCTGCTGCGGCTGCGGCTGCAGCACTTAGTCTGTGGAGTATGAGTGTGTTATACAACTCCACACATACTATATATCATGACTATTCCACACATATGTGAGATTTTTCTACTCCAGATTTATTTGCGTGCTTGGAAGTATTCCAAAGGAGTTTACTGGGTTTGGTTAATTGGGAAGGCAAAGTTGGTGTTAAATCTAGAAAATTGATATTGGGTATTTAAAGATAATATAAAATATACATATTTATAGATATATTTATAGACAAACAACAAACAACTAACAATTGTTATATATTGTTTATTATATATGTATTCACATGCATTCAGATATTCTGTCAAGTCACATTTTCTTTGCCCTTTTAAAGAGAGCTTCACAGAAGCTGTATCAACATATATAAATATATATATATTTATTCATTTCACTCATCCCAATTTTCATCCTCTACATACGCTTGCATTGCCTCACTCTGTTCGTTCTGCTCATAAACTGGTTCCGGCCAATTTCTGTTATCCTCTGTCTCTTCGTTATCCTCAATAAATATAAAATCATTTTCAACTGTTTTCTCATGCTGCTCCAATAGCTTCGCCAATAGTTCACGCGTTGCGCCCAGATATGACAAACGTTGCGTTAGCTCATCCAGGGACAGTTTATAAGCATATCTCTCAGTATCATAATTATTTTCATCTTTGGTACATTGATATAGCTGATTTTCAACTTCATTCCAGATTTTTTGCTCTGGCGTGCGTTCATCCGTATGAAATGGAAAATCCACAACACGTAAGGTTTTATAGGTGGACATGCTACTATCCGGAAGAGGTTGTATTGTTAGTGGTTCTGCCAAGGGCATACCCAATATATCCTTGCGAACAAACAGAGCTATTTGGGAAACGTGACCCACAGCTTCTTCGCCTTGGGGCGGATCACCCACGCCAAGCAGCGAGAACATATAATTTGTATACTTCTCAGTTATGCCCAAACACCAGGACTTGAACTCCTCCCTAGTCCATTCAAATTTGTGATCAGCATGACGAAATCCATTTGGCAACAGCGAGCTAAAGCGCGTGAATATTGTATTAAAGTCAAAATTGGGAGTGCTGAAAATCACAATTTTCGGCTGCATAAAACCGAAAATATTTACAGGTATCTTAGCCAGCACGTCCTCATACACATGCTCAATGCTGCAAAGTATAATAATAATAAATATATTTAAAGATTGTAAAACTATTAAACTAATTTAAACTTACAGCTCTAATGCTATGACAGCGTCTGTGTTCCTGAGTTCCTCCGATGCATCTGCAACGCTGCCATGCAGCACTTGTACTTTCAAAGGTGTTAGCCTTTGCCTCATATAATCACAAATCAATGGACTTGTGCGATTTAAATGCGTCTTTAAGATATCATGATCAATGTCCACCTATAAATATAGACGTTAGGCAAATAAATTTAAACATATTTTTGAATCTACCCGCCTGGGCGAATGGTAAATTGTTTCACAACAAAATAATAAGTGCAACAGTCTGGCAGCACTTTGAATAGAAACGGATCGAAACAAAATGGCGAAACAAATTGGTAATGAAACATTGGCTTGTCACTTTTGAGTATGTCCGTGTGCGTGTGTTTGTGTGTATGAGTGTTCCGAGGCACGGGTAGCAGTGCACGAAGAATATGTAATTTGTTGTGAAAATCAATTGAGTATCTAAATAAATATATTCAATTGTTAAAAATTGAGCGGATGTGTAGTTAAACAAAAAAATGCAATAGTGTAAGCACCAATTGTATGTCCGTTAAACGCGTAATGAAAATTTTTCTGCCATTGCATTTTATGGGGAAAAGACAACGTGAAAACAAGAAGAAGAAAACTTGTAATACGTGAAAGAAATACATACTGAAAAGTGGCAAATGGAAATTAAACAAACGTTTAGCCAACTGGCAATGAATTGTGTGTGCGTGTGCTTAAGTGAGAAAGGAAAATGTTCTAATATTAAATAAAATGATCTGGCAAAGCAGCTGTGGCCTGTGCCGGCGGTCCAGTTAAATCAATATTCCCTTCCATTTAAGCAAGCCACTCTGTCTGCCGTCTCTGTCTTATATATTCGTTCGGTCGCAGACATGGCGCTTGATAAAAGTGTTGTATGTTTTGTCGATGAATGTGAAATTCACATCAATCTATGTATATAATTATATATGTATTGTGTTTTTGCAGTTTTTAGCAATAGTGATTAATTGTCGTAGGGGAATTATCAAATTTGTTAAAATTATTTGTTTTCTGTGTGTGAACAGAATACATATGCAAGTATATGACAGTGTGAGTGCGTATGCATGTGTGTCTATGCCTGGCTGTATGTATGTATGTAGATAGGTATGCATGTGCCCCGTGCCCATAATTTTGCCATTCCGTTTAAATCGACGGCGTTCCATTCACACTGTGCCGGCGCAACAACGAAATTCAAAACAATAGAGCGTGAAACCTGAATTAGTGGTGGCTAAACAAAAAATAGAAAAGAATGAAGAGAAAAAAAAAACAATATAAATTAAACAACAGCTATGACTAATAGGATTTTTGTTTAGTTTGATTGATTTGCTAGTTGTTTAGTGTTGGCATTTAAATCATAACCGAAAATAAACTCCTGAGTGACACTCTTCTTCTTACCACACAGCCAACACGAATGTCAACAGTAAAAGCAAAACCTGATTAACAAAAGAGAATACACAAAAACAAAACAAAACTCAATTTCAAATTCAACGTTCCTGTATGCGCCCCGTCAGCGGTAAATTGAGACTGACTGAAACTGTCATCTGACCGACCGATCAATCCACTAGAGAGGGGGAAATTTGACGAATTATACAAAATTGGAGCATTCCTCCAACGACTGCCGCCTGTTTAAAACATGGGCAAACGGATCGCAGCAGAGCGCAGCCATCAACAACAACGAATGTCCCCGCAAACGGAGACAAAAACTCAGCCATCAGATCGCAGTGCACGGAAACGCAAACGTTCAGCCGTTAAAGCCTCCCGGGTGGAGAAATGTCAGCGCCTGACCGATGAGCAAAAAACTCAATTCGATTGGCATGAGAACGATGATGAGGACTCCTCCTCATCGGGCTCGGCAAATGTCGAACTATTGCAAACACCACAGCAGTCACAACAGCAGCATCTAGCACGCAACCAGTGTCCAGTGTCCAATCCACGTGCCTCTCTATTATCCTTGGCCACGTTCGCCAGCGGCGGCTACAGTGATCACAATAATTCCAATACAACCGAATCGCCGCGTCCAGTTTATACACTACGTCCCTCTGTAGTCAATGGTACCATATTGAGAGATTTGCTGTCCAAAGCCTGGCGCCTAGGACGTCCCATAGGTGGGCATAAATGGGCTGAGCTGATACAATTGGCCTTATATTAACATGCTCTTTCACTTATCGTAGGCAAGGGCAACTTTGGCGAAATATTTTTGGCATCGGATGACACTGTTTGCCCGGTCACCTCAGAGAGCGCTAAATATGTGGTCAAAATCGAGCCACACTCGAATGGACCACTCTTTGTGGAAATCCACTGTCTCATTAATACGAATCAGACGGAATGTAAGTAGAGTTGTAGAAATGATATATAAGTGTTATTTATTGAGAAACCATTCACGCTTACAGCTGCCACAGATGGCAACGAGGCGTGTGCTATAGAGAAGCTGCCGCCACGCATTAGTCATGGCCCGCCCACTGGTATTCCTAGCTATATTGCATCGGGCACACATTACTTTGGAGACGGACGCTACAGGTTTCTGGTGCTGCCGCGCTTTGATCGGGATTTGCATTCGCTGATCAAGAATGCGCGAGTGGCACAAAAATCACTCTTAGTCTTAGCTATACACATCATCAATGTGCTGGAGCACTTGCATGATAAGGGCTATTGTCACAATGATATTAAGGCACAGAATTTGATGATATCAAAGTGCAAATATCTGAAGCGACAGGCGGTGCAGCCGGGCGGCAAAGCGAACTATGAGGAGCACTACGAAGAGAAGCAACAGACAACGGATAGTGGCAACAGTTCGGAACAGGAGACCAACGATGATGACTACTTTATAAAGAATGAGAACAAATACGCGCTGAAGCGCATTGCTGGCATCAAGGAGGATGTCGACGATGTGGATGAGGATGAGGATTTTGATGATGGCGCCACCACAAATAGCAACAATAGCAATAGCCTGGATATATATCAGACGCCAGTGAACAAAAATAAGCGACGCCCGCGCCAGAATGCTGTCGAATTCAGTGGCTCGAATCCAATGCGCTCGTGCCGTCGCAATGATAATTGCAACTCTAGTTCCATGTATGAGGAAATGGTCAAGTCACATTATCTGCGTCCGGCCAAGCGTGTCAGCTACTCGGAGCTCTTCAACGAGGATGGCTATCCAGTGAAGGCGGATGCCAAGAGTGAACAGTCGGCGGAGAGCTCGGATAATGATTCGGATGAATTTGTGCCTGCGTTTGCGCGACGTTCGGGTGCCGCTAGTGCGTCGAAACGAGGTGCACGCGCTCGCACCTCCAATCGCATGGTGACCCGCCGACGGGAAACCAAGCAGAAACAGCTCAAAGCGGAAATCACAGAGAATCCGCGAAATGGTGGAGTACGAAGTAAACGCACCGTAACTCAATATCAATTTGTTCCGGTGGAAGAAGAGCACATATTCCTGATCGATTTCGGGCTGGCGTCCAAGTATCAGGATCGTGGCGTGCACAGACCCTTTATTATGGATCAGCGACGTGCCCACGACGGCACCTTGGAGTTCACATCGCGTGATGCACATTTGGGCGCGCATTCGCGTCGCAGCGATTTGGAGTGCTTGGGCTATAATTTGTTATACTGGTCGGAGGGTTATTTGCCATGGAAGGAAGTGGCGCAGCAGCAGCAGCAGGAGAAGGTGCATCGCGCCAAGGAGCTATTCATGACCGATGTGTGCGAAATGCTGCGACAATTCTATGGCAAACAGGTTCCTAAATATTTGGGTGAATTCCTGCAGCAGATCGGACAGCTGGCCTATCAGGAGCGACCCAACTATGAGCGTTATCGCAACATCTTTAAGCGGGAGTATCGCCGTCTGGGCTACGATTGCAGCCAGATGCAACTGAGCAGTCATGACATCCAACGTACGCGCATCTCAATCAAGGATGAGGTGGATGGCATTGGCAAATGCGATATATTCGACTTGAATAGCAAGAGCGCGTTCAACCAGCTGCGTAACTCCACATACAGCACACCATTCCAAGATCATTCGCTAACGAATCGTGTATCACCCAAGAATCTGCGTTCCAAGTCCAATAAGAAGAATGCTAAAAAGTTGAAATTCTCCTGGGCAGAGGTGCTATCGCAAGATCCCGATCAAATTGCACGCGAGCGTGCGGTCAAGGAATTTGAGCGTGAGGAAGTCATCTGCCCGCTACATTCGCGTCTGCCCAGGCGATACGAGGGCAAGCCGACCTATGCGATATTGGCGGTGGAGCAGAGCAGAAGGGAGAGGGGGCTGAGCGTGCAGGAGCACAACAGCGAAGAGGCAGACGACCAGGTAGGTGAAGCTGCAGAAATAGCCGAAGACGAAGAGGAAGAAGAGGAGGAGGAGGAGGCAGAAGAGGAGGATGAAGAAGAGGCCGAAGAAGAAGCCGAGCAAGAGGCAGTAAGTGATTTCGAAGAGGCAAGTATTTCTTCCCATATATTTCATATGTATGCCTAAAATCTAATTAATGTGTGATTCAATGATACAGATGGATGTGGATCAGCAGAGTGTTGATAGTGAAAGTACAACGGAATCGAGGCAAACGCGTCGCGCACGTCGTCAGCCGCGCAAGAATAGCAGCAGCAGCAAAGCGAGTCAGGGGCAACAGTTGCCGCAGCTGAGCAAAAGCAAAGGCACCACGCGCAAGCGCAGCAGCAACAAGTCAAAGAACATCAATGGTCACCCTCAACAGCAGCAGCAGGCACACAGAATCGTTGGCACACCGCTGACAACGGTGGGTGGGAATAATAAACGTGGCTGCGCCACTCGCAAGGAACAGCAGCAGACGGCGACAATGGCATCGGCCACCGGTGAGGTGCAACAACAAACCGTTAAGCTAAAGTCCAGTCGAAATGCGGCAGCGGCGGTGGCAGTGGCGGACGATCCAGGCAAACAGCGGCGGACGCGTCGTTGTCTATATAAGACTGAAGCGGATGTGGAGAACAACTATGCCACAAACAACAACATGCAGAACGATGCTTATAGCGTGTGGCAATACGATGATGAGAACAGCTATGGCAAGGGGCGGAATGTCAACTCTTCGTCCAGGCATTGTCGCAAGTGATAGTTATCAAGTTATCATGTTATCGATACGATACGTTAGATATTGAAGAGCGAACTTTTAAGAAACAAGTACAGAAAGAAGGCAAAAAACAACTGAAGCTGGCAAAAAAACTACATATAGATACATACTTATAGAAATTACATATACATACATATATATAGAATAACAGTTATGCTGCGTTTTTCAAGTATTTTATAGAGAATAAAATTATTGTTAAGTTCAGAGCAGAAAATATGATCAAAAGGACAGGCGAAGGCAGTTCAAATCGTATCAACGTCGTCTATTCATATACTGAAGTTGTTCAGCGCACTATACATTAATAGAGAGACAATGTTTTATGTAATTTTTGCTGTTTTCCTTTTTTATACATCAATTTAAGCAGAAATTGTTACAATACAGACAGACATATATACATATATATATATATATAGGTTATTGGCCTTGATAGCAAATTATTGTTTAATCATAGTTTTTATTTGAAAGAATTTTTAAGTTTCGCAGTTTAAGTTTTTACCCGGATATCGGTTATATTACCTAAATGATAATCCCCTTACAAGAAAAACAAAAAAAAAGTATTTACTATAAAACTAGATGAAAGGTTATTATTGCATAAATCATAATTACTAGGCCTAAGCTAGGAATTAAACTGCGTATATAAATAAAATAAATAGAATCATATGTCTTAAAAATTACCCAAGAAATATCAGTTGTTTGTAATTCCCACCACTATTCGTATGTACGTAAACTTTAACGGATATTTATTATTACTAATACGTATCACATACCTGCAAAATGTTCTCGATAGTTTCAATGCGTCGCATCAGCTGGAAGAATCGCATCTCCGCGCAACTGCGTGTACAAAATAATTATTTATTAATAGTTTGTAATAATGTGTTTTGAAAAGTGTTCAGCCAATACGTACCCGAATTCGGTGACTTTTTTGATTTCGTTTACCCAACGCGCATCTTCTAAAATCTGAATGGCCAAGCAGTAGCGCTGTTCGTAAACAGGTGGATCAAAGGATATGCGCGTCTCTGTGAGTTTAGTTGAGGTTTTAAAACCCCCGCAAGGCAATGTGTAGCTAAACATTAAAATTTGGTTTGCGAATACACTCAAATTGTTTACATTTATTTTTTATTATTGTGTTCCGTGTCAGTGCGACCGAAATGACATAAAGCAAAATTCCACTGTCACTTGCTAAGCGGACAACTTAACGATAGTGTTAAATTGCGTGCCGCCAACTTACTGTTCTGTGAGCAAATTGCGCAAAGCTAACGTTACGAAAATTTGCCTTACGTAGCGCAAATTGTGTCTACGTTGTTAATTTGCGTTTACGAAGGTTGTTTATCGAAATTTTCGATAACAAGAGACTTGAGCGACATTTTTAAGTGTGCATAAATAAGGTAATTAATTGTTTTTTGACTTTCAAGTATGAGCGACATTTTTGAGTGTGCATAAATAAGGTAATTGTTTTTTGACTTTCAAGTATTTATATGCTTATCAATATAATTTAAATGTCGGTTTTAAGGTGCCTTTAAGAGAAACTCCCCATTGTGTTTATATTTTTAAAAACTATTTTGACTGCTCAAACTCTTAACTGAAAAGGTTGAAACGTGCAGCGTTGTGCATAAAGTGCTTGTTTTCTTTTGCGGCCACTTTTACTCTTTGGTGGCTTGCCTTCGGGCAAGGCAAACAAAAAACCGCAGCTGGTCCGAATGAAAAGGTTCCCCTTTTCTGCTTGCCCAGCACCCATGCCGCACAGGCCAATGCTCAAACGTGGCTTGACCCTCATTACGTTTGATATTTTCGTAACACATTAAGGACGTTACAGGACAGCAGCAAGTTAGTTCTTAACTTTGTTGTGATGCTCAAACTCATTTGCCTTGAAAGCATAACCAACAACAACAAACAGACTACAAGAAATAAAGTAAAGTAAACATTTAAGCGACCTCTGCCCGAATGACGAAAGAAACACTGAAAAGGAAAGAACAAAAAACGTAACGAGTTTGTAAAAAGATTCGGTTTCCATTTTCTGTTTTCTTTATGGCAATAATATAATTTGGTACAAACGGTTTTCCGTTTCACTTGCTGTTGTTGTTTTTACGAGGAAAACATTTAAGGGCGCTAACTTAGTCTCATTGAATTTGGCCAATGCCAAAAAAAAAAATCTAAGCCGAGAAGTCGAATAAAATGTTTTCCAGGTTTTATATGAACCCAATTTTTTTTATAATGAGCAAGAATCAAATTGAAAGCTCAGAGTCGAAATTTTCTAACTTACTAACGCACTCACACTAACACTATTTCCTTTGCCCACTCTCACTCTCTCCATCTCTCTAGCACACTTCGAAAGTTGGCTTTGCGCCATTTTGTGCGGCACGCATACACGTACACACGCACACAAGTAAACAAATTTGTCGAGACGACAATTTCAAAATGCGACAACAACAAACAAAAGTAAAAGAAGAAGCAGGAGAAGGAGGAGTAGCAATAAGTGCTGGCCAGAGCAGGTAAGCAGAATATGAAAAATACATTGGACTTAGGATAAAAGAAAATTATGCAAAAATAAACACAGAGCCAAAGTGTAGACAAAAAAAAAAAGAAAGAGAAAAGGCGCATGCAGCATACGAAAGTGAAAGCAAAAAGTGCGATAAAAACAACGCTTGGCGCTCTGCTTAAAGTCTGCTCTGTTTTTAAGGTGATTATCCATAAGCCCCGCAAACACACCAAGGAGAAGGTGGTCGTGATAGGGACGGGGAGAGAGGGGTGCCTGGTAGCGCGTAAGTGAAGACAAAGTTTTGCTTTTGCTCTGAAGATGGCGCTTGGGCTGCTTGAGCTGTTGTCGCTGCTGCCGCTGCTACCAGCTCCTCTTTATCTTCAGTTTCTGTGACAGGTATGAAATCCGAGCGTTAAACATTTTTTTTTCCCCAAATTTGTAAATTTGTTGCTCGCGTTTTTTCCTCCGTTTTTTGTTGTTTGTGGGCGACAATGAAACGTGGATAAAGCATTTTACGTGCAGACGCCGCTGGCAGCTGTTAGTTGGGTTTGATGGCGAGAGTGAGCAAGAGAGGTGGATTGATGGTGTGGTGTGGTGTGGTGGCTTAGTGGGTGGTGGGTAGCTGCGCTGTCTTCGTGTGCAGGTTGTTTGCGTCGCTGATTTCGCATAAATTATGCAGGCGAGAGGCGCAACCCGATGGGTAAGTGCTATGTGTTTTATGCAGGCGCGCCGCCCAAAAGCGCCGACTTCATTGTTGCCCAACAAATTACAAATGTGCCGTTATATCATTTCTGTTTTTACGCTTCGCCCCGTCGTCCTTATTGTTGTTGTTAGTGCTGATGTTGTTGACTGGGACAGCAATATGATTACGCTACTCACACTCGTCTGGAAGGCGCACGCACTTGGGACACATTTGTGCGCACTAATTTTACATCAGCTTTGTGCTTCGGCTCTTCACTGCCTTATCGTGCAGCTGTTGTTGTTGTCGTTGGTCAGCGGATAGCGGGCTACAGAACATCGTTTAAAAGGGAACCCAAAAACCACACGAAATACATTTGCATTTGAGCATTTGAACGAAATTAGTTCGGTAAACTGAGCAACTTAATGAATTTTTATGTGTATGGGTGTGTGTGTGTGTTCTATCTCCTTCTCTCTCGCTCTCTCTATGTTTGTTTCAAAAGATTCCAATTCAAATAAATATATGTATAAGTATATATAAAATTATATTAAACAAAAAATGGTTTAAAAATATACTATGTAAAATCCAAGCTCAGAGCCGAATTCATTTGACTGGAAGACCGCAAAACCAATTCATCAGCTCACAAAAGCCCTGAGCCGCAAAGCACTAAAAAAATGAGAGCTTGTAAAGCGAATGTTAACGACTGAGATATACTCTTTCTTTATAGGAGGAGACTCACAAGCTCCTGTGAATAAGACATGTCCTGCTGTAACTTTACTTGCCCTGATTTTGATTCAGTCTTACGTCTTCAGTAACTGTAAAACTGTATGTGCAAATTGTGAAGGAGTTCAGTTGCTTTCGGTCTCTAACAAAAGTCCATATACCCTTTCATCATACTCCGAACAGCGTGTAGGAAAAACATTTGAGTAAATGAAATAACATTCATGTTGGCTCAACTCATACGCAGCGCATGCCACATTGGTTAGCGAGGCATGGCATGAGAGTGGTTGGGAATGTATTTGAGATGGGCTGAGTGGGTCGGGGGTGGGGCGGTCATGGCGTGAGCGGGTGAGGATTTAAGGCCATAAAGCAATAGCTAACGTAGCCGCAAAATTGCAGCAGCCGCAGCATCAGCATCAACAGCATCAACAGCAGCTGCTGCACACGGCAACAAGTTGGCAAACGTTAGTTCAGCAGCAGCAGCAGCAGCAGCTGCTACTGTTGTTGCGTTGCTGTGGCAATATGACCCCATCCTCCTATCCGCTTTCACGTATTCGTATGTGTGTGATGGCTTTACAATTGCAGAAACCGTCAGAACTTGTTGGCAACATAAACATTCATGTTCGTTTGCCCTGTGTGGCGACCGCACATGGAAATCAAATGAAAACTGCTCTCAACTGCCACAAGTGCAACACAGACTGACACCAATAATTTCCATGCATATGACCTCGAGTCTTCCTTGGTCCCCCGACTACCTTCCCTTGCGAGTGGGCGCGTGGCTCATGTTGCCATAAATATTCAATTCTATCTTACATACCTGGAAATGGCAAAAAACAAGTTTCACCCTTTGCGAAAGGTCATTTAAAGCGGGCTTAATTTGCAACAGAGAAGTGGATGATTGAAAGGTGAGCGGATAGAGGCGTGAAGAGGGAGAAAGAGAAAGCGAATGGCATATGGAGGACGGAGAATGGACGATGGGAAGAGGACGAAAAATATTATATCAGCAAACTAGAAGATTGAAGATAAAAGATAGATGGTAAGGAATAGAGAGAGACAGAGGATAGATCATATGGAATATTGGATAGAGGATATTGTATAGAATATTGAAGATCGATCATAGAAGATAAATGATAGACTATGAGTGAAAATTAAGAAGATAAAATATTGCAGATAGGCAATAAGAGAATAGAAGATAGCCAATCTAAAGATAGAAGTGAAAAGATGAACAATAGATGAACGAAAAGAACACAAATATACAGCTCCTCAACAGGAATGTCCTGGTTTATGCCTAACTTAAACTCTCTTATTTGTATCACTTAAATTTGCATCTGCTTTGACATCTCCTGTCAGTTTAGCTTTTGTGTAATTTCTGGCGTCTTTCATGCTTCTGCTGTTTTGATGACAACTTTAATCTTCCGATTACAAAGCCATATTCAAGCGTATAAAATTATCGTTTATATCGGGGTCTATTTTAATCGCATGTCCGTCAGAGCTCCAACAATGGGCCATGGATATGCTTGAACAACTTTTATTTGCTTCATTTCCGACAATAACAGCAACAACAACAACAACAACAACAACGAGGACAACAGTTAACAAATAACAAACAACAACAAAACAATTTGTTGTTTTTAGCTGTTTATTGGTAATTTGTTGCGGTTATGTTAGATTGTAGAGCATTTGACTCTACCTAGGTAGAGGATGGGGGTAGGGCTAGGTGGCAACGGGTAGGGATATTCGTGTCAGGGCAGGCGGCGGCATTTCATGTTTGTATAAGCCATATAGTTATGTAAATGACACGCCCCCCATGCCAGCAACGCCCAGCGCAGCCCACGCAGACAAGGGAGCCAGCGTCAGCTGCCGAAATGTTTTCAATGCTTTTAATAACTTTACAGACACGCACACACACACACACACACACATGCCCTCACGCACGCACACATACAGAGAGAGAGAGAGAGAGAGAGAGAGAGAAACTTAATAATGGACTCAAGCTGGCCTTTGCTGGCTTTAGCTTTGGCTTTGGCACTGGCGCTGGCGATGGCTTATGCTCAGCTGCTCACGTGTCCTTTATTCACACACACACACACACATACACACTTCTATAGGTATAGCTACGCCTACTCACACACTTTCAGCTTTTGGTTCCACTTTAAATGCAAACGCAGCTGTATTGAAATCTAGAAACGCCTTGCTCTGCTGCCATTGTCGCTCCGCTGAGCTCTGCTGGCTCACCTGTGGGCTGGGCTCTGCTGCAAGGCTTAAAATTGCTGACAGAGACCATATATAATGCTTTTCCTTTTGCTGCTTCCGCTGCTGCTGCTGTTGCTGCTGCTGCTGCTGCTGCTGCTGCTGCTGCTGCTGC